ATTAACTATAGCTTGAAATGAATCTTGAGGGTACTCAGAACTCATATGAAAAGGAAATGGACTTACAGGATGAGAAGAATCGCACTGATTTTCATCGCCAGTATGGTCCTCCAATTTCTCGGTGTTTCTTCGTGACCCCAGGTAGAAATCTGCCAAATCGTTAAGACGAACCGATGATCCTTCTTGGGTGGATGCCGTGCAGATATCCTGTTCGCAGCGCCAATTATGTTTCTCAGCCACAACAAGGAGTTTTTAAAAAATATTTATTTTGTAGACATGAACGTGTTACAAGTTGGAATGATAATGAATTAAAATATAAAAAGAAAAATAGTTTTAATAAAGGTTTCTGCTGTCGTTGCGACTGGCGGTGTCGTCTTGCTGACGCCTCGGGTTCTTGACCTATAACGCGCGTATACTCTAGCCTTGAGGGGTCCCCATAAGAAAAAATCGCATATGGATAAATCTGGGGACCGAAGAGGCCAAAGAGCATCGCCAAACCTGGAAATAAGGCGACCAGGGAAGAGAGGGCGAATAACGTCCATGGATGCTCGGACTGTGTGGGCGGTCGCCCCATCCTGCTGGAACCACACACGTCGGATTGGAACACGTCGCCGTGGTAATTCAGGGAGAAAGAAGTTGGTGATCATGTCGACGTAGCGCTCTGAGTTCACGGTAACATCACGACCATTACCGTCTTCGAAGAAGTAAGGGCCAATGATGCAATTTTGCGATACAGCACACCAAACCGTTACTTTTGGGCTGTGCAGCGGTCTTTCGTGTAACTGTTGCGGATTTTCATTAGCCCAATAACAACAATTCTGCTGGTTAACCATGCTGTTTACGTGAAAGTGGGCTTCGTCACTCATAAACAAAATGAGTATCTCATTTTGATCGATCAGTGCTTCCATCTCACGTGCGAAGTTCATTCGTTGTGCATAATCTCCGGGCTGTAACTGTTGCACAATGGCCAATTTGTAGGTGTGAAAGCGGAGCTCCATATGCAAAATTCGCCTTACCGAACGATCACTAACGCGAAGTGCAGCAGCATGTTTCCTGGCAAATCGAGTCGGACTGCGAAGAGAGACCTGTCGAACGCGTTCAACATTTTCAGTTCGAATTGTTCGCGGCGCTCCTCTTGGTCTTCTGTTGATAGTTCACCACGCCTGCAAAGTGATTCAACCCAACGAAGGATGGTGTTTCGAGAGGGAACAGCTCTATTCCGATGAATGTCGAAGTGGCGACGAAACTCACGCTGTACGACGATGACTGACTCATTATTTCGGACGAAACAATCATAGGCCAAAACGCGGTGCTTCTCCGTCCAAGGCTCCTTAACGACATCTGGAAAAATAATGCTAGGATCTCACGAGTCAAACGGCACCCTCCCCACCTCTCTCGTAGACGGAGGCGGAGAGTACTACCCATCCCAAAAACGTCCGTCCTCTCTGCCGCACCCTGTACATTTTAAGAAATCACTATTCTACAAGTGCATCAAGTCAGGCAATAAATTACCTGTTGAAATACAGAAAATCAGTGATTACTTATCATTCGAAAATCAAGTTAAAAATTTTTATCAACAAATTGAGTAAAGTATTCTACATAAAGATAGCCACCTAATGCTTTATTCCCGCATACAGAAGAATTATCCAAGGTGAAATGAGATACCGTAGCGCCATCTATGAGAACTCACAGCTGTTTTTCTATTTACTATATATATGTAGTATTTTGAAAAGGTCAGTTTCTTGTGGGTGGCGATGTCTATACATATAGAGAAACAGGTATGACAAATTCTCATATATGACGCTACGGGATCTCAGATAATTGGATAATTTGTTGGACGTGGGAAAATAGCATTTAGATTGGCTATCCTCAAGTAAAATAAGTTAACCAATGGTGCAACCTTAAGTAGGTAAAGATTCACGTGAACATTTCTATGTGTTGTTATATTTATACTGGTTTTATTTATATTTCTAACATACATAGTGTATTTATAATGTATATTTTACATGTACAGTAATGTATCAAACACGTTCTATAGATTAAAGACTGAAGGATAGTAAATGTTCGAAATGCCTCCCCTATATTGAGCTCAGATACTATCACCACACATAAGATAACAATCACCTATAGTCAACGCCAAACAAAGTGGCGTGCACGTCATCAAGGTGGGTGTGTTGAAAAATTTACATTGTTGCCAAACTTTTTGTAAAATAATAAAATTTATTATTTACATATCTAGGTTTATAAGCAATATTAACCTCAAATGAGAACAAAAATAATAGTATAATAAAATTATAGATCTGTACTTGCATAATCATTAAGTATGACAATTATTGATCAGATGACACTATGAAACTACCATATTTAATTGATAGCTTAAAGGTACTGAATAAAAATCCAAATGGGGTCCTCCAAATTTTATGCATGGTATTTATTTTACAGAATTCATACAGAAAAATGCATTCTAAAATTAGGTAAGCTACTGGTGTAAGCTTTTTCTGTACAATAAAGTTAGTCGGGTTTTCTTTCTTCAGCGCTGTCTGAATCTGAATCTTCATCACTCTCAAAGTTGATTATTAAAGGTTCGATGTCTGGTCGATCAAAAATTCGTTCTCTTTCATACCATTTAAAAATTTCTTGCTCAGTATGTCGAACACTATTTTTCCACATGTCTGGGGCAACCGTTTGTAGAGCCTCGTTCCACATATCCAAACAGTCTTTTTCACTGTTACCATCTCTACCAATATGTCTGTTATAGTAACCTTTTGCTATGCCCCAAATTAACTCAATAGGGTTAAATATACAACGGTAAGGAGGCAGACGAAGAACTTTGTGCCCATGTTGTTCCGCCAATTCATCAATCACGTATATTTTAGGTGGTTTGTTTCTAAAAAAGCAGTTATTTTAAGAATAGGAATAAACAAAAGAAATATAAACTGTCGACCAAAATATATATAATTAAGAAGCATTATGTACCGAGCAACAATACTCAATAGCTCTGTTTTAAACATTGTGTTTAAAAATGGTATGTTTTGATTTGTCAACCAGTCTTGGATATTTTTTTTGTCCATGCATTGTTGGGCACTTTGTTCAATATCATGCTGTGATAAGGGGCGTTATCCAGTATAATCATAGATGGACTCTCCAATTTTTCTAATAACTGATGTTGAAACCATTTCAAAAAATTGTCCTGGTTCATCTCTCCATGGTAATCGCTCAATTTTGTTTTCGAAGAAAATATCGCTTCACTACCCTCAATAAACCCATTTTCATTTCCAGCATGTAATATAATGTATCTAAAATATATTAGTTTTAAATTTTATAGTGCAAATTGTGTAAAAGTACATACCTTTTACCATCTGTTTTAATAGCTTTCACGCTTTTTTGGTTTCCATTTTGCCAAGAGCGACCTATGGTCCCATTTTGAAATATCCAAGTTTCATCGAGGAAGACAAACTGGTATAAGGCCTCAACCTTGGCTTGATTGTATTGCCTTAGAAATTCCACCCTTTTCAAAGCTATACTTGGTAGTTCCATGAGCCCTCGTCGTGGATTGTCCTTAAGCCACTTAAATCCAAGATCTCTAAGCAACCGCCTTAAAGACGTGGCACTACCATCAAATAATGCCCTATCTCTTAATCGAGACCATAAAGTTTGTATCGTAACTTGTTGTTCTGAAACCATGTGTAATATGACATTATAATTTAGTTAACAAATTAATGCAAATTTCTGATAAGTTATTATAATAAGATCTTACTTTTGTGATACATATTATAGATCACTTCTCGAATGGCACTTGTATCCAATGTCGCTGTGTTGGTTACACGTTTAATATAACTCCGCTTTTTCTTGGGCGATTCTAAATTTGCATCACTTTTCACACCCTCGGAAATACGACTAACTGTCCTTAAACTAATTTTTAAAGCAGCAGCAACACGCTACAAAAAATGAAATAAAATTTCACTATTATTAATATACATTACATATAATTATTAGTAACCTACCTCTTGAACAGCATTTAAAGGCCCGTTGTTGTCCCTTTCTTGCTCAAAGTAGTGCATTAACGAGGCCACGAGTTCCTTACACCGACTATTTAACTGTTTGGGCATCTTTATATACCAAAATTGCCTTTATCTACTCGTAAAATGAATAATTTTGTTTTGAAACAAACAGTTGTTGATTTACAGTATGCGGGGCCAAAGGATTTATAAAGATTTGAAATGCCACAAATTGATTCAGTGTCAAAATTAATACAAATGTCAGTTCCCAGTTTAAATAAGTTTCAAGGTGACAATGTGTCAACGCTGCGAGATCGGTTTAGTGCGTTTACATGTCGATAAGTGATTGGAGCGTTTGCAAAACATTTTATTTCGCATAATGCGTCTAAATTTATCAGAACGCAACTTATGTGATATTTTAATAACAATGTTTATATGACTATTAACCATAATAAGAGAGTAATGACCATTTCACAATTTATATATCACATTAATATGAAACTGCAATAGAGCAATTGTTTGTGATAGAAACCTAGGCATTAGGTCGGGGAATTTTATCGTGATGACGTGCACGCCACTTTGTTTGGCGTTGACTATATAACACTTTCCTGTCAGTGTCAAGCAGCCGCCATTTCGGCAGAGAAAATGGCATGTAAATTATCCGATGAAAGATGTTTTTGTATTCCGTGTACAGTACTCCTAGGCACTGTTGCCTTGTACCATGCCAGCAGACATAGATGTCCTTTGCAATAGTAAAGGTTATAATATTCCTGTATGACCAAATGTAGTTAATGTGAGCCAGATATTTTAAAGAGTAGGTTTGTCCAAAAAGAAGCGACGGAGTTCGATGAAAACACAATAAATACGTAATACTGGAAGACTATCAGTACCTTCAATAAATGGAATCGTAATTCCAAACGTGTGTGGTCACACCCATATGTTGAATCTTTACAGGGTTTCCAAACTTACCATAACTTTCATTGATTTAATCTTACATTACAGACCCAGTTTTGCATAATGTTGGCCTACCTCTTTTCGATCATCCTGATGGACTGCAAACTACCGAAGGCCTTGACCTTCTTCTTCGTCGGCAACGTAGTGATATTCCTGTACCTCTTCAGCGATTTCTACAGGAAGGCTTACAAGAAGAAACCGAAGACGGAGTCTCAAAGCACGAATGGCCTCTCGAATGGTCATGCGAAGACAGTTAAAGATCAATAACACACCTTGTGATGAAATACATATTTATTTACGTCGGCGTTACTTTTTCGGGCAATTTTTAACCAAATTGTTTTTTCGTTGTTGATAGTCGAGATCATTAACCAATGCTATATCTCTCGTAACATGTCAAAAAAGCAAAACTTGATACAAAGTGGTCCATTTTTCGACTGGAGACTCCTGGGCATTTCTTACAAGCTGGAACAATTTATCCGATAATATGATGTTTCATGTTGAATCTCTATGAGTAACTTTGACCACAATGCAAAAATGTGATTTCGGTAGATTTGCTCTGAACTATGGGGTTATCTTCTCCTAGTGAAGCTGATCAAATGTTTCTCATTGCAAAAATTCGACTTAATTTGGTCCATTTTATTTCCACTAGAGTATGGTACTTATTCAAGTATGGTAGTTCAACAATTATCCTAAAAATGAACATAAAGTACCCAAAAAAATTTTGCACGTGTGCTTGGGCTTGTTAAAATCAAAGGTGCAACGAATGACTGACTAAAGAAAACACTGTATACTCATAATTTGTTGAGTTCATTAATACAGGGATATTAGGAAAAACATCCAGACTAAACGAAAAATATTATTTGTATGAGAATTGGCGATAAGTCAAATATTATTGATTTTAATATTTATTTTTCATTTCAATTTTGTGGATAGAGCATTTTAGTTGTAAAATCCATTTCTTGAGCTCTTTCCAAACTATCTAAATGATTTTTCTGCTTTTAATGACTCTGGTATGCAGTTACAGAATTTTGGTCCCAAGAAAAAAAAAACGATGTTTCAGATGTTTGTCGAATACCCACTGACTTTTGATTGAATCTTGTTCTGTGGTAATGAATGACACACTTCAAGTGTTTCGAATGTTTAATGTAATACATATATTTATATAAAAAGTACTATAACAATGAACTTGTCTGCAATCTAATAATTGAGACCTCCTCATGCAGGATCAACTTCAGAATTAATTTCCTGATAACGTCAATCTTTTTGTAATTATTACCTACAACTCCCCCGAAGCCAAAATTCCGTAAAGTATTAAAGGGTAGATGAGATGATAATAAAGATTGTATAGATATTTTTTATCTGAATTTTGAAATAATACTATTCACCAGTTACAATGCATGGGCATTCCAGTTTGTTTGTTCAAAACTACACCTAAGTTATTTTATTAGTTGACTGATCTCATGGGAACCACTGCTTGTATGAAGCTCAAGCTTAATAAAATTATAGAGTATAAACTGACGTCTGCTTGTTTTCATTGCTTGAGAAAAGGTAGAAGGTCACTTCAAAGCTGGATGAATCGGAGTAACGTCAACAAAAGAGTACTTCAACCATATCTCCCTTGTAGGGGGTCGTTTTTTCACTTTTAGTGTTGAAACAACTTAGATAGATACCATATTCTAGTGTAAATACAATATGAAAAACGTATTCTCTCCCGCATTTGGGGTTAAATTTTCATTCGAAAGGTTGGGACACATTCTTTGAGTACACGTTTCCAAGGCATGGTCATTTTGCTATTTCTCTCAAATACTTAAACCTTCCAATGCTTTTGGTATCTTTTTATTGCTTCACACAAAGACATGGTCCACATTGTGTTAGAATAGTACTTTTCCAGGAATGCTCCCTCGTAGGGATATTTCAGCGACTTTGAAGGGTAGTAAGAAGCAAAACGAAAGTAAAGATAGATTCAATTCAAGTTGAAATTTCTTTGTCATTTGTGGAGTAAGCAATTTATTCAAATCATAAGCTGCGCGCTGAGCTAAGAAAGAAACGGGTTTTTCGGTCTGGCTGTATAAAGTATAAATATAAATTCTTCTTCTGAGCCCCTGGATCCCTTTGAATCGAGTTGATGCAATAAGAACATTTGATCAGCTTCACTTGTATAAATTAACAGATAAGTGCAATGAGTGATGCGATAGACAACTGTTAAAGCTAAAAGTTCGTATAAGTACATATGAATAAAGCTAAGCAAAATTAATTGTGCTTCATGCTCCGATACTGGAACTGTCCAAAGAAGATTATTTAATGAGCAAGTATCTTCAATTCATCTTGAATCAATTATATGTTTTATCTTTGATTTAGTCTAGCGATGCATCTCAGAGGACTAACAAATAGAATGGTTCTGTATGCATGCCAGGGATTTTTTGTACATAAAGGCATTCTTGTAAAATGTACTTGTACAACCAGTGATCTTAATAATTTATTCATTAGTCTTTATTTGTAAGAATTAGATTAAGCTACCAGAGTTCAAATATAACAAAGGTTAAGTTTGAGTTAGATTTTATTCATTTCCTACTACCTTTACTCCGAATTTGGGTATATTACTTTTATTTCTACGATATCTCAATAATTACCTTCCAGAAAGTATAATCAGAGTATTTATACGTTTTTCTGTGACGGCCACTAGCACAACCTGCCCACCAAAATTCACACGTAAAAGTTCGCGCCAAACCTGCGACGTCACGAATTCTTGCATGTGACTTTATTTCTGCCATGGAATTGAACTTTGACATTAAATGCATGCACATACTGTATCCACATCTGAAAGAAAGATAAAATCCTTTCGACTGATTTCTTCGGGGATGAGTGCTAAGGATTTCGATAAGTTCACTTCCAATACCCGATAGTACGAAATATTCATTAAGTATTTATTCAATATTTAAAAATGTTTTTGTTATCTTAAACAAATATTTAGTAAGAATTTGGAGTATGTTTTTATTAAATATTTATTCAATATCTTTTAAATATTTTAAATACAATATTTCTTTTATAATATCGATTAAATATTTACTTTTCAATCAATGGAAAATATTAAATCTCCATTATTTAGAAAATATTGTCGACTACGGCGCATGTGCGTGTAACCCCGAGCGACCAATGGCAAGCCGACCTGAGCCGACCCGTTTGCCGGCATATATTTTGCCTATGATAAGGTGCTTTCTGTGTACCTCCAAGTGATACATTACTTGAGCGTTTTTTGTGGAAAAGGGTAAAGAGTAAGTCTTTCAATAATTACATAGCTTAATTTATGACTAGGAGACATTATTGTCCCAGTTGAGTATAAAGGTATTTAGAAGACCATAAATAACTAGCCTTAACGTGGATCAGCTATTTGAGATTTTGAATTGGTGGATTTATCTGGAAATGGATACAAAAATTATATTCCTAACATCCCAATGAAAAGTCATACAATCGCAACTTGATCGAGATACATCAAAAATGCTTTTTTAGAATTATTATTATTTTTGTTGTAGTAGGGAGCAAATCAGTAACTATTTCAAAATTTTTAGGTTCAAGAGCGGCGTTCCAAAATTTTAACAGAAATTACTATATTTTTTGCATTAAATTATTATCTAAAATCACAAAATAGTTATGGCTAAATTAGTCCCCTTACCACTGCAAAAAAGTCACATTTTAACAAAATCAGTGAGTGGTCTATTTTTAAAAACCTTTTCTTTGAAAGTTAGTCAGAGAATAAAGTTGTATCAAGTACCTTTTTCATCAAGATATCTAACATAACATACCAAATCTTAAAAATTAACCAAATCTCGAACTTTCCTAGGAAGAAAATGTGGGGTCCTTTTGGGTGCATTATAAATCTGGGAGAATATCTCTCTCAAAAAAAGACCACAGGAGACCAACTTATGTATTCAATAATACTTCACACTTAGTAAGTTTTTTTTTCAGGGTAGTAGAAAAGGTTTTGAATGTTACTTAATGATATTTTAATAGCAAATTAAACCATTATATCTAAAATGAATTTTCCTTATAAGCCTAATTTTATAAAAGCATTCCTATAGATTTTGCTAAAGTAACCAACGAAGAATTTTCTATATACACTGAAAATATGTATCAGATTAATGCTTGAAAATCCTATACACATTTACAAAGAATATTATACTAAGTGACATATAAATCCGAACACCCAGTTTAAATGGTTTTATTTTAATAAAATTTTGTATAAGTACTTAATGAAGCATAATAAGTAAATGATCAAAATTTCAAAATGATTACACTGCTTTAAAGCCCTTTGACCTTTAATAATGTGTGGATGCACCCTGATGTGCTACGCATTCTCCAACGCGCCTAGGCATGCTTCTGATCAGGTGGTCAATGTCCTCCTGTGGTATCTCATTCCAGGCAACCACCAACTCCTCTCGAAGTGCTTCTAGAGTCTGAGGAGGACGTTGCAAATTGAGCAATCTCCTACCCATCATATCCCACACGTGCTCAATTGGGGATAAGTCGGGAGATCTTGGTGGCCGTGGTAACAATGTGACATCATTATGTTGAAAGAAGTCTATTGTGACTCTTGCAACATGTGGTCGGGCATTATCTTGTTGGAAAGTTGGATCTGTCAGGGTGTCAAGATAGGGTAAAATATGGGGTTCTAGAACTTCGTGGATATAACGCTGCGCGTTCATGTTACCTCTGATGAAGATTAAAGGTGACTTGGAACCATAAGCTATAGCACCCCAAACCATAACTCCAACAGTGTGATGAACATGTCGTTCAACAAAAAACTGTGGATGCCTCCTTTCACCACGTCGCCTTCTAACCCTGGCACGACCATCGTGCATGCCTAAACAAAATCGAGACTCGTCACTAAAGACAATACTGTTCCATTCCTGATCCCAGAGTGACCGTTGTCTGCACCACTCAAGGCGATTACGTCGGTGTTCTCGAGTTAAAGGGAGGACCCAGTGTGGCCGGTATGAAAACAAGCCAAAACTTATCATTCGTCAGTAAACACTTCGCATGCCAATAGATCTTCCGTGTTCTGCAAACCATTCATTTGCAATGGACCTGGTAGTGGAGAAACGGTCCCTTAAGGCCAATAATCTTAGGCGGCGATCTTCACGGTCTGTTGTTCTACGGCGGCGTCCAGTGCCCCTTGTTCTTTGCGTACGGCCTTCTTGAAGCCATGCCTGACAACACCTAACCACAGTGTCTACACTTCTTTGCACTCTAACTGCAATTGCCCGAAAAGAAAGTCCAGCTTCCCGAAGTCCCACTATACGGCCCCTATCAAACTCACTAAGTTGACGAAATCGTACAAGTCTCCGTACTCTAGGCATCGTAACCGATCGTAAAGGATGTCAAGAACCAAAATCCGCCAACGTTGATTCTTTACTGCGGCTGAAATATTCATTTTTAGAGCGTTAGTGAATTAAAAAAAAGCAGTATAAAAACCGGAATGTCCAACTGATAAGGCTGAAAATTTTTTCACTTGTTATTTACAGAAGATAAATACATTCACCAACTTTTATTAAAATAAAACCATTTAAACTGGGTGTTCGGATTTATATGTCACTTAGTATAGATATTTCCAAATATTTGGAAATAATATTGCAAAAATATATGAATTATATACACTACAAATATCTAGAATGAATATTTCATGAATATATAAGAAATGCATTTATTAAATATTAAAAAATCTGTCGCTACAAATATTTAACAAACATTTTTTAAAAACATTAAGTAAATATTTAATGCTATCGGGGATATCAAATACGTCTTTTCCAATACACTCCACAGTCTTTGAAAAACGGATATAATGATGTATTCCAACTAGAAAACTAGAAATAATACAGCGCTAAGCGCCATCTATCACCAGAATCGACCACTTTTAAGAGCGTGTAGCAGCTATTTGTTGGAACTATAAAGATCTCAGTTCGCGTTTAATAGCCCAGCCCGCTAGAGGGCTGACGATTCTGGCTGTACAATAGATGTGGTCTACTTGCGCTGTCCTGTTCCGATAGATGCAGGATAGTTGCGATGCTATCGTGCGTTGTGCCAGAGACGAGAGACCGAGCCTAGACCGTGCTGATGAGTAGCCAAAAAGCACGAAACAGCTGTCAATGACTGGTCGGACGAAGGAAAGCATCGTGTTTATGCTTAGTTTAGAAAATTGTAATCTTATCGAGGTACAGAATACGCCACTGAGTACACTGGAAAGATGGATGGACGCGTACCAGCTACCACTACCTAAAACTGGCAACTATCGTTTTGAATGACTGGGTATAGATGACTATCTTTATTATTTAATATTGTCTGAAAACAGTTGAGTACGTGATCCTTGATAATAAAGGGTTTGATAGTATGACTCTGGACCATCTTCAAGGCATACTTTTTTTTTCATTCAGCTACACATTTTTTATCCGTCAACGTATGACTGCACATCCGTGTTGCATGTACTCGCAAACTATAGGAACTATAAGTAAGAGGGTATTGAAAATAAAAGTGTTTCATCCATTCTTTATTACTTTTCTATCGCCAATCTGTCCATCGAATACATTAGAACGTTGGGTTAAAGCAACATTTCTCTTCCTTATGCTTTCACCATTTTCACGGATTCCTTCAGTTTGATAGCCAGGTAGGTTGTCTTTCTCATCATTCTTCTTGTACGATTTCATATAGAACTTGGAGAAGAGATAAATGAAGAATAGAACTTGTGGGGTAATCAGGAGGGCGGTCCATTTCGGAAAGTCGCATTCTATGAACCATAGTTGAGCGAAGTGCACGAAGAAGAGGAGAAACTGTCCCTGGAAAGAAATATAATAATAATATCTTTCTTATTTGTAATAACATTACAGTAAGCGAGATTTGGATAATCTATCTATTCTACGAGCCCCTTCCCACTTCAGTTGGCCCAACTATTGAAATCTTAGTTTTTTTCTTATCAAACACAAATAATAAAAATGTAGCAGGGTGTTATAGGTTTAAAATAATAACAATGAATATTTTGATAATATAGTAGAAAACACCAACTTTATCACTCCCTAATCAAATTTGCAGCGTAAAAATAACACATGTCGCAATTACAGCATATCAACCTATTTTCCTTTCAATACAAAATAAGTCTATAATCTATAACGCATAGGTGGCTGTGAAAAATAAAAGCCATATTAAGCCACGATATGTGAAAAAAAGTAATATCACAAATGACGACCGAAGAGCATTAAGAAGAATATTCGTGAAAAACAGGCGTGCAAATTATTTACAATTAAGTGCTCTGTGGAGTGACGCTGTTGGAAGGAGAATTTCGAGGTCCACAACTCATAGAGATTCCCACAAACTGGGATTTAGCACTTGCAAGCTAAGTTTTCTCATAAAAAAAAGTGAAGTAAAAACCCTAAAGTTCCACAACTTGCTTATAGGCCAAAGAAAAGCCACTATTAACTCCATTGCAAAATAAAAATCGGCTTAGATGGGCTAAAGAACATATACAATGGACACCCCAACAATGGTGTGCAATACAATGGAGTGATGAGG